CGAAAGGGAGGGAGCGCCCCGGCCTGCTGTGGGGGCGGCTGCCCAGCTGTCTCCCCAGCGGGCTGCGAGTTCATCAGTTAATTTTGGTGAAACAATAGCAGATGCCCGGGCAAAAGGCGCGTAGTGGGAGTTAGTAACCCTCAAAGGACATGCTCAAAAAACCCCCAAACCAAACAGTTTTGCAGATTTTCTTCTGCTTGTGCTAATTTTTTTCTGCCCAGACAGGGCCCCCCTCCTGCAGGGAGCTCAAGGCAGGCACAAGTAAGAGTATTTATTGGCAATGTGGCATTAATGACGTGATAGTTTCAACAACTAGTTAAAGCATCCCTAATTAAAGATCACATTTTAAAGAAGCCAAGTTGTTGTTAGTACAAAATTACTGCATTTTTAGTGCATTGAACTGTATGCAAAGCAAGATTTCCCAGAATGTCCTTCCAGTGCGCTGCTCACACATACTGACCACATAATTCTGCTTAGCCATTTGTCTCAAAAGAGTAACCTCTGTTTCCTAGCAAAGTAAAATGCCATAGTTTTTTATAGTAAAGTTATAGAATATTTGGCTATTTGCACTAATATGTCTCCAGAACTGTTTCCAAAGCTGATTTACAGTGTTGTGTAACAAACATGTAAGAGCTGAGCTAATGCTTAGGCCGTGTATGTAATACGTTCAGTCTTAACTGGCATTAGATTTACTTTTGTTTGTATCTGTTACAGGTTTGAATAGCTTGTACTTATCATCATTTACAAACGCAATGGAAGAGGGCAAGACTGAAGACGTCCAGGGTATTCTACGACTTAATGTGCGAGGATGCTTATACACAGCCAGGCATGAGTCTTTATGCCGCTTTAAGGATTCAATGCTAGCTTCTATGTTTAGTGGACGCTTTCCTCTAAAAGTGGATGAATCCGGTAAATATGTTCAAGCTGTAAATATGACATTCTGATCAGGGAGCTCTGTGGCAAATACACGCTTTTATATATATTTATGCATTTTGTAGTATATCTCTTTTCCCAGTCTGCTGACCATCAGTTGGCTTCTTTAATTCCAGGACGTAAAACAATTATGCATGCATGACTTTATACTTACAAGTAATTAATCTGAATTCCAGAAGACTACTCATGTTTGCACACATACATGTTTGTACAGTGCTTAGCCCTGCCTTGTCCCAGGCCAAATGGTGGCTTTGGAATGTCCTTCTTCAGTATGAATATGAAAATAGATAAAATTGAAGTTGGCTTCAAAAATACTGTAAAACTTGAGCAATATTCAGGGAAGGTTAGACTAGATGTGTACTGGAGCTGATGCTACTTTTAACTCTTTTAAATTGCCTAGATCCAAATGAAAAAATCTCTGCAACAGCGAGAAAAGATGTATCTGCAGTTAGAATTAGAAATGAATCTAGAATTGGATTTTAGCATTTTAAGTGGAGAGCAGTACAGCTGAGGTTGTATGTTGGCATGGTCCTATGCAGATTAGTGATTTCACTGAAATTCCAAATGTTTACTGCACTAAGAATTTTATCTTCAAATAACAAATATTCCAGGGAAACAAAATAGTAGTTTTAAAAGAATAGAGAGAGTATACTTACTCCTCCTAAGTAAGTAAAACTAGTACAAAAGTTTTATGTAAAAGCTTTACTTGATGATTTGGTAGAATGTGACAAGTCTGTCTTCACTTGCTGGAAGCAGTATTTTAAATAATTTTATTTATGTGTTCAGGAGCATGTCTAATTGATCGAGATGGAAGCCTCTTTAAATATCTTTTGGATTATCTTCATGGAGAAGTTCGGATTCCTGAAGATGAACAAATTCGAATTGCACTGCAGGAGGAAGCAGATTATTTTGGCATCCCTTATCCATACAGTCTCTCTGACCATTTGGCCAATGAAATGGAGACATATTCATTAAGGTCAAATATAGAGCTTAAAAAGGTCTTGACATTTCTTACATTTTTCAACATGTACTCTCTAATCTACACCATTAATTAGCATCAGATACTAAAACTACAGTATGTGCAAGTTAGCACTTTTTAATCACCACGTTAAATCACCAGTAAATTCGGAGGTTTAGGTTAAGAAATCCTAGAGTTGATAATGCAGTCACAGTAGTTAAGGACATCAGCTTTCCCCATCATTGCAATAGAGCAACAGTTTAAATTTGACTCTATTTTACATGCAAGTCTGCTGTAACACTTGCATAGTAGGAATGATATTGTTTAGTTCCCTATTTGGCTTCAAATTTTACTTGAGATTAGATTTGATCCCTTCAAGATGTTTGGGGTTTTTTTTTTCAGTTTTAGAAATTAATCCTAAAACTTGAAAGATAAAATGTACTTTGCCATTTTTTTTAGAACAAGAAAGGAGAAAAGAAAATTAATATATTATTTAAAATCCTAAGGTTTGTCTGTTTTAGAGTATTGTAACTTAAAAGCTAATTCTAATTAACCGATTGGGAATTAACTCATATTACCAGGTATGGCTGTGTTAGTCCTGACAGTCATCTATGTTCTCTTAGTAAGCTATTGTTCCATATCTTTCATATTCTCCCTTATTCATTTCCTTTTGAAAAGCATAAAACATTTCCAGGCCTTTCAGTTTCTCTTCATATTAGGGATTTGCCATGCCTTTAAGTATTTCTGTTGCCTTTCTGTGAATTTCTCCTAGTTTTACAATATTGTCTGTTAACATCAGACAAGAAATACTGCACACATTATTCTAGATAAACTACATCCTTGATTTACTTAAGAGTTCACCAGTACAGTTAAGAAAACTTAAATATGAGAGCTTATTCAACTAAAAATATTGTAGTCTTATTAATAGTCTGTATTTTGTGTTTGGGTTTTTTTCCAGGCTTTGTTAGATTTCTGCAATTCTTATGATTTAGTTTGTACCAAACCTACAGTTTGGGTCCTGCACTATCTCAACACTTCTGGAGCAAGCTGTGAAAGTAAAATTATTGGTGTGTATGCCACAAGAGCTGATGGGACTGATGCAATTAATAAGGAGCTAGGAACGAAAATTCATAGTAAAAGCATTTACAAAAGGTAAGATGACTGTCAAACTCATGAAAGCACTATGAGGTGAGAATGAACACTCACGTATTATAATAATACCTAAATATTATTATATGTAGCATAATACAGCATTATTGTACTATAAATCCGTGGAAGGAATCGGATTCTTTCCAGCTTTGAAAACAGCTGGCTAATACAATGGTCACATTAAACAAACAAACCAAAAAGATAAAAACTAAGCATGGAGTAGAAAAATTTGAGAGAGTCCACAAAAGGTGGCTAGCATGTAGTTGCTGTAAGTTCTCATTATGTTTTACTTGCTATTTTTAAAATGTCTCCACCATTTAAAATTACTTTCTAATTTAGGACAATATTTACACTCAATACAGTGAATGAATCCCCATCCAGAAAAAGTTCCAGAAATATTCACAAAGTTGGTTGTGATTAATGCAATTGTATTTTGCAGTCTTCTAAGACAGCTGAAAGAAATATTTAACACCGAAAAGAACTGAAGAGGAAAGGAAATAGTTTTAATTCTTTAAAGGACATGTACATCTCTACTGCGCTATTAATGTATTTTTATGACAGTAATTATAAGTTATTGGTAGACCTGTATTTCTGAGTGTCTGGAAGCAATTTGTCTTTCTCTTGGTCCCACAGTACAGCGTCAGAAGTGTACTTCACTGTGTACCTTTTGAAACATGATTAAGACAGAGCTTTTCATGTTTCATCATCTTTATAATTAAGATGCTTATTTTCCTAAATTTAGGCTGGGAACATTAATATTTATTCCAAGAGTATTTGGACACATAGTGTCAGGTATCTGTCCTCCTACTCTGTTTTCCCTTTGAATAAATGACTGAGATTTAGAAAAATAGATTTTACACCATTAATTGTGTAATTATTCTTTTATGAATGCCTATTCTTTCATGAATACCCATTTTTAGCAATAGGTGTTCACAGGCATGCAGATCATAGGAGGATAGCTATTTAGAACCTCTTATACAAATAAAAATGAAATTTAAGTAACATTTTCCTTTCTACTTTACAAAACATTTACTACTAAGTTCTTACAGTTAGGAGTTGATAAAAAGAATGATACATTTAATCAATATTACATTTTTAAGGACTTAGCTAGATTTACCACATAACTGTTACCTTTAAAACAATATTTCTAGAGAAGCTGGAAATAACGTCCAATACATCTGGAGCTATTACTCAGTAGCTGAGTTGAAAAAGATGATGGATGCTTTCGATGCCTGGGAAGGGAGAGGTAGAGTATTAATTTTTTTCTTTTATTTCAGCAGTACTACTTTTTTACAGAAAAATAAGAAAAAGAACAATATTTGCCAATTAAGTATAATAAAAACTCTGCATACTTTTTCACTCGTTCAGTAAGTAACATGTTGTAAAATATCCCATAGTAGTGGCTATTTGGGGGGGAAGAAAAAAAGAGTCTTAAGGGATGTTCCAACAAGGTGACATGAGTTGACATGAACAGATGTAGTGAGAGCCACCACATGCAAGGGGTGGTAGCCTGCTAGCATTGGGGACTCTGGTGGAAGCCCTAGAAGCACGTTGGCTGTAAGCAACATTCATGTCAGCATAGTTTCAAAGCTGAAATTCTACATAATAAAATATACGCATTCATTTAGTCAGGTGTATATACACGTAATATTGACTATGTTCTCTCAGCTCATCAATACAATGTCCCTTTGAAATGCAGGTGTCAGCTACTGGAGAGTGCCTCAAGAGCTGATTGAATGTTGGACTCTTGAAGAACGCCCTTTGAAAGGCAGTTTGCATCATATGCCTCCAGTTCATAAAAGGTATGCTGATTTGCATAGGTGGCTTAAAATAAAGCAGAAATACAGCACGATCTTTTTTTTTTTATAATTTCAGGTTCTTTGAATAGCTATGAATGTTGAGTTTTCTCTGAATTTTCTGCTTACGTTTTTATAAAATGTCTTATAATCAGAGAGCTTAATTGCAGAACTGAACTTGCTAGAAACAAATTGCCTTTTTTAGGCTGCCAAAACTCTTCTCTGTTCTATTCTACTTCTTCAGCCTTTAAAACATCATTTTAGAGTGGGAAGGAGTAATTTCAAAAAGTAGAGAGCAGTATTAGTTAAATGGACTGCTAAAAAAGAAATTCAACTGAAAACTTCAAACGGTTAACTGATTTTCACGTATGTGAGATTGCCTACCTTTTAGAAGGAATTTCTAGAATTTCTTCTTTGCAGGTTTACGGTGATACTTTTGACTACACGTCCATTCTCAATACACTGGCTAAAAGCAGCCTTTGCAGGTGCGGCTACACAGTTGATCTGAGCCACTCTACAGCCACTTTGCTGCTAGGTAGGAGAAGAGGATCCTGCTGACCTTCCTTGTCCCTGGCCACACTGTCATTTCAGCAGCAGCCACAGAGCCACATCAGCACAATGATCCAATTGAAAACTCCTATCTCCCCACCCTCCCCATTTTTTTTTTGGATACTGCATTCTTTGCTTTTCATAGCTCAAATAAGAAGGACTATGATCATTTGATCCCTAGATTGCCAAACAGCCTACATACACTCCTGAATGCTCCTCTACTACCGTTGCCTGTTTTATCTTCCATCTCTCTGCTTTGATTTGTCTTCCCTATTCTTCTGCACCCTCAAAAAAGCGCTGTTCAGGTTTCAGCTAAAACTGCTGATGTACCGCAGTGATCCTGGTGAGACCATATATACTGCCTTGAAGTATTGTAAATGAACCTAGTTACTGATTATATTTTACCTATACTTCATTGCTACTGTTGAAGCACCAAATCTTTGAATGTTTAAGCTTTCCTTTTTGTTTTGGTGGTTCTTTTGATTTAGGATGTGCAGATGTTGAGAATACGTTCTCACCTTACGGCTCTGAGGAAAACCTCCCTGGACTCATTAAGCACTAGGTTATTTGCAGGCTTTCTGTTTGAACAGTGTCACTGTATACCAGTTTTATAAGAGCAATAATAAGAAATATTACTCTCAGATATTGTTTATTCTTTTGGTATGAATCCCTGTGGCATTTCACAGATCTTTTAAAATCCGAAATGCCAGTACCCTGAAGAATAGCAATGCTTTTGTAGTGTATCTTTTAAGCTGTTCTTTAGTGGCTCTCATAGTTCATAGCCTGTTTACAGTACTGACCCGCCAGCTAAATGTTTCTTTGTTCCTGACAATCAGGTCAGTTAAAGCTACTGCTTTTCTTCGTCAGCTCAAAATCTAGATATAATCTGATTCATACATGTTCTTTCTCCTACTACCAGGTTTTAGTAGCTTTACCCCACGTAGGAGCCAGCAATAGAGCCAGTTTGACAGCTTTTGTTTTGACACATTTTTAAATGCATTTTTAATATTCTCTGAGTTTAATTTCGTCTCTGTGTTCTTTCCTCCCCCTTCCTCATCTCTCCAAAAATGATTTTGATTTATATTTACTGATCATCCCTCTGACCTGGCCTTTAGCTGACTCTAGCTTTTGTTTTGTTGGGTTTCAGGTGTTCTAATGTCCTGTTCAGCTGTTTTAGTGTGACCTGGATTTCTATGGCATCATTTATTATTTCCTTGAGGAATTAAAATCTAGGTGTCTGTCCATTTTTCTTTGCCAGCACTGAGAAACAGCATTTGTATACTACTTTAAAAATGCTGTCTACGTCTGCCAATTAGAGTTGCCATGAAACTCCGTAGGCTTTCTTACATAGGTTCTTTTTTTTTAAAAAACATTTTTTCTTGAAAGATTATCCGTAATCATTTGTATTGAAAAGAAATGGGGGAGGGAGAAGGAAGCAATATTTTTCTTCTTCTTTTCTCAAATTACATAGTGTGGAACTCTATGTTTTGTGTTTATGTGCAGTTGGGTCTTACATTTTTGTAGATAACTTAAAACACATCAGACTGGTATTTAGTGGATTTTGTATCTGATGGCATCTGTAGCATTTAAATATTTTCTTTCTACAACTCCTCCAGTCTTCTGTCTCATTGATTTTCTCTTAGCAGTTTGTGCACCATATCTCTTACAATTTTTAATGTGTAATATTACTTACACAGGTAGAAGAGATTGGTGGTACTATTCATATAAAGGCAAGCCTGGTGGTGGTGATGAACAGTGGAGAACCATAAATGATACTGTAACAAGCAAAAATTAAAAGAACCTCAGATCTGTGGATGGCTGTCACAGATTGTTTTGTAATAATGTTATAAAAAGAATAATTTATGTAATAGTTTGTTTCTTTAATTGAAGTTCTTTGTTTTACAGACGATTAATCGACTTTACTGAAGAGCAAGACTATTTACCATGTAAAGCGGGTCCCAAGCCAATTAGATTCTCAGGTCCCTCAACAAGTACCCATATCAAAGTCAAGAACTCAGCTTCATTAAAGGTAGCTGCTTGCAATGCTTCACGTTCTGCAGTGACTCTTAAACGACCCAATCGTGAAAGTTTGATGCTGCACAAAGTAGCTCCTGAAACTGTATCCACAACATGCACATCGGTGCCCAGCAATTCCCAGGTGCCCTGTGGAAGGCAGAGTGCTGACAATGGGACACCATGTCAAATGACGTTCAAGATCGCAGTGTCTAGGAAGCCCGTAAGCAACCGTGTAGTAAAGCTGAAGCGAACTCCACTTTTTCTTGTGACACCATCTCAGCCGTCTTCTTCTGTATCCAGTAAAACGAGTGAACAGGACCGTGCTGCTGTTGAAATTCCTACTGCTTCTATAGTACTAAACAAGAAAGAACCAGCTGTATTAGCAGAGAGTATTAAGCTTGAGAACGATGAACTGGATGGATAGTGTTTGACTCAGCTTGATAGACTGGATAGCTTTGCATCATCTGGTCAAAGAAGAGATCATCATCTCATGTGGTCATTCAAAGATTTGGTAGAAAATTATGATGAAAAAGTTCATGAAAAGTATAGGGAGAAATTGTTTTAAGTGAGCACTGAAATGTGTTTTCTGCTTTATTTCTAAGTATTTTTTAGATGTTGGGAAGGGAGGAAGAAAAATGCATTAAAAAAAACCCTCAAACACAGAGCATGTGCAGTCTAATGTTACAGTATCTCACATTTGTATTTTTGTCAGGCTGTACTAGTACAACTGACCTTTTTACAGGGAGTACTTGCACAGCATAAAAGACGACCTCTTTATCAACTCTAACTACAGTTAACATTAACTAGTTTCCTTAATTTGTATCTTTAAAGTGGGTAAAAATAGATAACGATAAGTAGCTTTTATTAGATACAAGTTTGCCACAAGTGTACAACATACTGAGTATGGTGAAGATTCCAGAAGTTGAATGCACTTGCTAGTACTTCTGGTGAGGTTAAGTCACCATTTTGTTACTAACAGCAATGAAAGGGACCGCCTTTGCTTGTACACAGTGAGACAATTCAGAAATACAGGAAGGGAAGAAGCATGCCTCGGGAGTAACAAAGCAATTCTTTCCATAGACCTGAGACATATGTGTACTACTTTCCTAACGTGGTGTGATCTGCCACTGGGGTGCAGGCAGCCGGTGCAGCCTTGGCATTTTGTATCACACCACTGTGGGGTGTGTTTTCTGCAGCTGCAGGGAACCTCACAGGTCTGAGTTACAGCTGGCCTTCCCGTGTCCTTCTGCAGGTCCTTTTGAATGAAGAGGGGACAACTTCAACTTCCGTGCAGCAAAGCAGTGTTAACAGAGGTGCCCTGGTTTGGAGAAAGATAAGAGAACCCCTCCTTCCCCCAGAGCAGGATAGAGACGACCTTCTTGTATCAGGGTAAATTTTGAGTAATGATAACGAAGTGAAGACCTGCTGTATGTTTCTATCAGCAGAGGAAAGCCAAATTTGGCTCACTGATCTTAAAAAGCCCTTTAGTTGTTTAAATCAGTGAATGAAACCTGGCTTTGTTTTGTGCCCTTGCTTGCTTGCAGTTGGGTGCTGGTTTTTTTTTGTTGGTTTTGCTACGGCTTTTGCTTTTCCAGCACAGCTGGCCCTAAACGTTGAGAAGTCCTATCACGTTGCCAAAATGCAACGTTCTTAAAATTCCTGACACTATTAGAATTACAGAAGGATTCTTTAAATGTTTTATTTTCTAGATCATTTAGAAGCGCTCACATTTTCAGGCTTTTCTCCTAACCACAAGGACTTGAAACATCATTTGCACAAGTAAAAAAACCCAAGTTTTCATGTACTAACATTTTTAAGGAGACACTTTGCCATGAACAGTAGTCACTGTAAAGGTGTGCAGTACTGTAATTTTCTGCTATCGGTGTGTATATTGAAGACCAGCTTACCTTTAGAATCTTCAAGCTAGTGGGTTTTCTTAAAAAATAAACCTAAATAACAATCCCAAGGCTCTTCCTATCCCAACAAAAGAAGTTTCACTGAAGAAAGGAGAAGGCAAGAATTATGGAAAGGTACTAACATAATGTAACCTCCTATTCTTTGAGCATGCAGTTCGTCATTGACGCTAAGTTTGTGAAATTTGTTTTTCATAATAATCGGACCGAAAAGCAGTTTTTAATACTTATCTTCTGTGTGACTTCTACTTTGCTATTTATTGACTAGCTGAGCACTTTACCATGCACTTTTAAATATTTTACAATGCTTCCCAAGGCAGATTTCCTTCCTCTTCAACTTTTGATGAATTTAGAAGGCTTCTATAAACATAGAATCATTTAGGTTGGAAAAGACCCTTAAGATCATTGAGTCCAACTGGCACTAAAGCTCACAAAGACCATCAAGTCCAACATCACACTAAAGCTCACAAAAAGTATGGAATTTTGCATGCGTACAAGAAAGAAGCTTGGAGAATAATCTTACAGGACTTTCCGAGTTTGCACTAGCTCAGTGTTTATTCTGGTAGCGAAGTATTTTTCGAGTAACGTCTGTGTCATTTGCATTATAGTGGCTTTAATGAGTCTTCTCTTTGTCCTAAACAAACTGGCTTGTGGTTAAAAGAAAAAAAACAAACCAAAAAGAACTCCCTTGAATTTCAATAGATGAAACAGGAAAGTGGCTGTGGTGGGGAGTTAAAGCAAGATTGTTTTTTGAGGGACTTGATTTTATTTATTTTTAATTGGATGAGGTGCAAACATGGCCTTTTAACTTATCTGAGTAGTCACTTTTGCCGTGTTTTTTTATACCTGTGAATCTTGCTAAGTTTCTCTTAACTGATAGACTGATACTAAACAGATTTATGATAGCTGAATGGCATTAACCTTCATGGTGACTTTCACTATAAAAATAGCTTTATCCTTATCTACCCAAAGCCTTTTAAAATGTGGAAATAGAATTTCATCTTCTCTCTGGGAGGCCAATAGCGGAAAACAAATGAAACTTGCCAGTCCAAGGACAAGTCATCCTTTCATCTGGCTAACAGACTGTGTTTTTTGAGGCCTGGAACAATGAGCAGACATTCTGCAAGTCTGAGTTTCCTGCAGGTTGAAGCTTCCTCAAAACTGTATGTTCCCAAGTTTCTTGAAAGTCTGCAGTTTTCTTAACGTTTTACTCGTCCAACTCAACTAACGAAGTACCAGCTGGTACTGCATTTGCACTGATAAACTGTGATACACCGTACGTACACACCAGATAGTTTAACTGGGGAAACTACTAAAGGTGAGCTACAGTTTTATAGCTGGGATTGGATGCATTGTCAAGTGGTGTGACAATGGTTTACTTTGCATCTTTATAAAATTATCATTCATTATAGAAGAGATCATGTTCAGAAAGTTACTCCAATTTAGTAATCTAATGATTACTAGTATCTAATAGCTGCATTCTAAAGGCTGATACATGTATCACCAGTGTAGTTTGATGCATTAAACTTTTTCTCACAAATGCTGACAATTTTCCAGTTGTTTAGTTCTGACTTTCACACTATTGTCTTTACAAACCATCAATGGTATGGCATCATACAGGTTAAGGAGACAAGAAAAACACAATTCCAAGTTAAATTTCTAGAAAATTACTGCTCTGTGATTACACATGGGATGCAGAGGGCCTATTATCACCAAGATGTGATTCAAAGAGATGTAATTCTATGCTTCAGAGTATGGAGAACTCATTTGTACTTGATGTAAGCAAGCAGACATTATTTCATGTGATAGGCACATGTTACCACTGATCCTCAGGGACAGTTTTCTTCAGGCTTGCTTTTTTTTCTTTCAAACTGTTCCAGGTATTTCCCTACCAGCTCTTCCAGAGCAGAAAAGTACTCTTTTAAACCGGCTTACATTAAATTGCTTAGATAATAAACATTATGTAGTTCAAATCTTACTATGGCTAAAAAGAAATACTAACGTTACCCACGAGTAAGCAGATTTCATCTACTTAGTTCTTCCCAATCCATGAAGGACAAATTCTCACCTGATAAAAACAGGAGGCCAGTTGTGCCATCAAAAACTTGGGAATGAAGCTGTCTGTCCCTTAGCTGCAGTTACAGAGTCAAAGTGTGGTTAGAAACAACACTCTGTAAATACTCCGTGGTAGTAAAGCCCCACAAAAATCTAGATTCATTTTGGGCAACAGCCTTTATTAAAAGATGTTAAGCAGTAGAAACAGGCAAGGCTGATGACCCCCTAAATTCATGGGGTCACGTGATCAGCTGCATAGTGTGCCCAGAGTTTGCATCAAGGATTTGGCTCTCTTCTCTCTCTGTCTTCGCTCCTTCTAGTGTCTGGTACAACATACATGAACATTTTAGTACAGTTTGGTTTAGTAGTTTGCCATAATAAAATAGCTGTACTGTCTTAAATTTCTGACAAATTTCTATTCTATCCTCACATGGGTAATTGGCAGTGGTACTGGAACCTGTGGTGCCTCTGCTGTAGTCACAAGTATATGAACAGGAAGGACGTAGCTGATTTATAAAATCTTGATGCAGCCCAGTCGCTACTTGGGGAAACAGACTCACAGCAGGAACTGCCATTCATACAAGCTCAGACCAGGTGTTCCCCTACAACAGGGTCCAGGAAAGTGCTAGAAGACCAATGTTTCCCTTCCAGAATTATTAGTTTCTCTTTCAGGGTGACATTTTCCAACACGTTAAGTGATTAATTTTTTTTTAACCTTGTTTTCCAAACATGCCTAAATAATGTAAGTTTTCCAAATAGCTCGGCTGTGTTAAGTTACCTTCTCTTTTGTTCTCCAACTGCGTATTTGGTCCTTTATTTTGCCGAGTTCTGCCCTTAGTCTGAGTTTAATCTTACACGGAAGATAAACAGATCCAACCTGCTTTAAAATACTGCCCTTTAAGGTGCGTTTCCACTTTTGAAAGGGTGTACAAAGTGCAGTGGGAAGTCCATGTTTGTGTTTGAGTGGTGCCAAACAGCTGTATTTACTTTACAAATTGAGGGCGCTTTTTAAAAAAAGACGGCTGGCCTGAAAGTCAAGCCTTGTCCCGCCCTTAATTCCCTCACTGACCCCTGTACAAATCCCTTACATTAAAAGCAGTATCACACGTAGCTAGCTCTGTAATTAGAAGATACAAAAAGAGTTCTGTTGAAGATGGGCCCAAGAGCATCCGATTACTTACAGGCATTGTGAACAGTAAAACACTCCTAGAAATTGGCAGATCTAATTCCAAGCATACAGAGACACAAGAAATGAAAGATGAAGAGATACCGTTCTGACACAGCTACACTTCAGAGCACAGCCACGTAATGTACCTAAAACGTGTATTGCAATACTAAACCACACTTGGTGGGCTAAGACCGCAGCGTTCCCAGAACCACCCCACTCCCCAGCCCAACCAAATCCACGCTTGCATCTCTCATCAAAAAAAATGTGTTTGCATCACAGTCTGAAGAGAAATGCTGTCTCTCACCTGTTAGTCCTGGGCCTGTCACATACTGTCACACATACATTAAAGGTTAGCTGATACTGAAGAGCGCAAGGTGGTCCTGTGGTGCCGAGTTATGACTTATGTTGCAGATTGTATTTATTTGCAGAAGCCTGTTTGTGAGAAGCTGACTTATGGAATAAAATAACTTTCAATAATCCTGTCAAGTAGAGAA